TAATTTCTATGGTTGCTTTTAGAAGCATCAATTTTGAACTGAGTGAACACTTGTTTCCATTGGAGCAACATAATCAGTGGGTATGTAGCAGTCCCATGCTGCATTACTAGATTTTTTTTCTGAATGCTTGATAAAATTCCCAAAAATACAGTTGGAAAATGTATTACCTTACTACTGTATGTGTACATACGATGAACTCTGGTCTAGAATTCCACTGATGGTAAGTAATGTAATAATGAGTCTGCAACCAAATCCACTGCTGCCCCTTTGTGAGGAATCTGTAATAGCAGGACTTCCCTTTTCCATACTGCATTACTAAAGAATAAAATAATAAACATTTAATTCAAAAGATGCCAACTCTGGGATGTGGATTTAAATAGTGGAATCAATGGCAGTATACAAAAACATAAATTAAAGGAAACAAATTACAACCCAACATTATATATTTAGATTACAACCCACCTTTTAATCAAATGATCCTCAGGATGGCATACAAATGGTTATAAATACAACAAACCACACACACATACTCAAGCCAATGATGCACAGAACCATACTTTAGGTGCATTTTTTAAACTTTTTCTTCCTGAGCAACAGATTACTATGTCATTGTACAAACTGCTTTGAAATTTCACTGATTCAAAAGTGGCTTGCTATATGACAAAAGGACTGTTAGAAAATCACAAGCCAGATATTTATCTTTTTAGACAGAAGCAAAACAGGGTATTGGAGCACCCGATATACAATCAATATAGTATGGATCTTGACTCCTTATGTCTTTTTTCATTTGATCAGAAATTAAGGTTAAACAATTATTTTGAATGGACTGGACATCACATAAAAACAAATCAAAATAAAAAGGCTTAGAACCCAAGTCCACTTCTGTTAGATGTTGGTGCTGTAGTACTGATCATACTTGACTACTGTTTATGATGTAACATGAGTTCATTGAAGGTCTTTGATGCTCATATACTCTAGAACTGTATTTCTGTGCTTTCAGGTTGACATATGGACAATGATAATGGTTCCAAATGGGAACAATTGGAACTGTGAACAGATTAATACTCAAACACTTAAAGAAAAACCTTTGCCATCAATTCTTCAACTGATAGATTACTTACATCTGAATGTGCAGCTTACTGCCCCAAAACACTTATCTGAACATCGGGGCAGCATACATAGCTGCATACAATTACATATAATTCGATTTGTCTCAACTTGCCACTTGTCTTTGTTATGCTAGCATCATTTAAAACCAAACAAGCAACAGACATATTGAAAGAAAAGAAGAGAAAATTACTAGTCTAAAACTCTCTTAGCTATAGAAAAATAGTTGTGCAGTTCTTAGGATCACATTTTAAGGATTAAAGTTTTAATGAATGCTCATTTCCACACACTGACATGCATGAAAAATATGATAAATTGCCATTTAAATTGTAAATTATTTAGGTGCAATTAAAAATTACTCTACTGGTAAATTAATATCACTACCCTCTCACAGCCATATTTTATATAGAGTAACTATGACATTTACTTACAATGTTCATGACATTTTGCCAGATTTTCTAGGTCATCCACATGATAATAATCATAGCCTGATGTCCCCAGCACTTCAAATGGTAAATAACCTATTATTGGTGGTGCCCTGGGTGATGATACAGAAATTGTTACTTTATTTCTCAGAATAGAAGAAATCAATTTAACTAAGCTGTATTCAATTAAAAAGTACAATTCGTATCTCACTATAAGAAATGAATGCTATTAGCCAATGCCATTTGGTGGCCACTGCAGTAACAGAATGTTATAGCATGACATTATATGAAATGGCACCTGTGATCCAAGAAAAGGAACTTCCATTCCAAGCTATGTCTAGAGGTGAACTCTTCATTAGGTTCTTCAACAGTGCTCATTTCCTAAAAAAATAAAAAGTAAGTCTCTCAGACTTGCTTTGTTCTAATTAAAAAAATCTGAAATCCAACCTTCCAAAGAAGTAAATTAATTAACATGAATGTAACATGCAAAAATCCTTGCTGCTTCGAAGAGGGATAATTCAAACAATTTCCCACTGTAGCCCAAATATGTGATATGCCTGTTTTATCAGATAAGGGCAAGCTCAAGACCACAAAAATCTTGTGTAGGGAACCAACAAAAGAACAGGCATTTTTAGTCACCCACCTACCCCTTCCCTTCACATCTAGGAATGTGCCAGATGACATGGAAGGGACTGCACTGTAGCAATTCACATGTCACATTCTTCTTGAAAGAGGAAATTCTTAATAAATAAACCTTCATCACTAAACCTTCACCATGAAGGACCGCTTCACAGATTTTAAAATTGCTACATGGAAGGCACTGAGATTCAACTCTAAGAAGAAGTCACCACCATGTGACCCTCTCTAGTCTTATAAACAGGTGGTTAGTGCTGTGAAAGCCAAATGCTCCAACCATCCGCTGGGGATATTTGCTTGGACCTAGTTCAACAAAGACCACCATATATGAAGTGGCTGTTTGAATGCACAGCATCCAATCCAGAGGGAAATTCATATAAACAAACCCTTCTCCTGGATTGGAGTATGGTTAATTAGATTATTATTTATTCAATGTGAACAATTCAGATTATGCAAAATACAAAAAGAAAAATATAGACATTGAAGGTACAATAATTGTAACATACCTTGATAAATTGAGGAGTAGCCAACCTAACTGTGGCTACAAAGCAAACTCTGTCTTCATAGGAAGGCCTATGGGACCGCTGGATAGTTTCTTCATAACCATTATGTGCAGAGTTAGGCACTAAGGTGAAGAAAAAGGGATGACAATGGCCACAATTTCTAAGCATGACCTACAAGCAAGGAATTATAACTAATAATCTAGCATAAACATGATCATCATCACATTGAATTTATAGCCTGTCTTCTTTCCTCTTGCGAGGAACCCAAAGTGGCTTACATAGTTCCATTTTATCCTCACAATAATTCTGAGCATTGAGAGGAAAGACATGTATGTACTTGGCTTGAAATAAACCATCCTTCCCCGAGCACTGAGGGGAGTAGAGCAGCAGAAACAGCTGGAGAAGAGCAAGTGTGTTTGTTAAACGGTCAGCAGAATATTGGTAGGGAGAAATGCAGTCAAAAGCTCTGCAGCAGTAGTGTTGTCAATGATTCTCCTTGACAGGACTGATGCCGTCAGTGTTTTAAAAAGTAACAATAAACAAGTGATTTCCTTCTCTTCAAATGCACATAGCTAGTGATATTTATTAAATACAGCATGTGGTGCAATTAACTTACTGTTACTCAATGACTTGAAGTTTCCTATACATTTTACATATTCATATGTAGGTGGTTCTTTGGGGTCTATTGTCCCTCGGAGCATATGGCAACAGAACTCTAGTTGATTTTTTGCTGCAATGACAAAAAGAAATATATCATGAAATGCCAAGATGAGTATCAACACACAAGCTGATATACCTGAATAATATACAGTGACACGAGAACCTACAGAAGTAACATTAAAAATAATCTTACCAATGTGTCATCTCACCCACAACCTTAACTGAGAGTAGCCCTCTGAGGTCCCATATATTTTCCAGCTCTGCTACCAAAATATCAGGGACTATACCTGAGATATTAACTTACATTTCAATCCTGTATGTGCCTACTCAGAAGAAAATCATACTGACTTCAAGGAGGCTTGTTCGCAGTTAAGTTTGTATAGGATTGTAAACTTTAAAATATATGCTCTATGCCAATAGTACTGTGAGCATTATAAAATTTTGGATAATGACAATTCCTTAATGGATTAACAAAGGGTAAAAGGCAAGTTTCTTGGAAAGTTTCTGGTGATATCAGAAAAGAAATCATAGATGAACACAGCTCTATTCCTGATGCAAGAATCTAGAAATCTAGAATGTATCAATACACATACCCATCATTCCTTTATTTCTATCATTATCCCCAAAACAACTCAATTAAGATTTAGCATGCTCAGTGGCCATGGACTGCTGACTGGCTGCTGAGGAGAAAAACAAAAAACCAGGTAGAAGAGGCTATTGAATGGAGTACTGTGAATAGGGGCATGGATGAAGGAACACTAAACAGAAGCAATCTCAGACAGCAACATTTTGTTGTAGGTCCCACTGTTCTGCATAATGTTATTATTTTTGTTTACTTGAAGTATGAAAATGACTTCAAAAATTTTAATGATTTTGGAATCAGTAATTATATTTTCACTAAAACGCTCTTTTAAAAAATAAAGGCTTTAGGACTTCTCTCTGTATCTGTGAGATAATTTAATAATGCAACTTACATTTTAAATATTCTGGGGTCAATGAATCACTTTCCAACAGATGAGTGGACAGTATTTTATAAAATTCTGAATGTTCCCCCTCTGGGACAAAATTAAATATACTCTGATCCACAAGGTCAGACTAAAAGAGAAAAATAAATAAATGAAAACTAAAATGCAATCTTGTGAAATGTCACTTTAGAATGCAAAACAACTAACAAATCCATCAAAGAGGTAACTTAACAATCATAAACTTTGTAACATGACATCCTGAATGGTACGTCATTCTGAAATATAATGAAAGTTTAAATATTTATATTTTTACAATAAGATCGTTATTTCATAAGCAGTTAGCAAAGGTTACTTATATACCTACCTAAAACATAAAAGAACCTCCCCCTCTGTTTTGACAGATGAAGTATTTTTCATTAATGGCGTATTTGACTGAAAGTGACCAATTTTGATTGTAAAATTATCTTTATATCTCTGCTGTTTCAGGGCATCTAGTATTTAAAAATTATTTCTTTAAAATAAAGTGAGGATGAGTTCACTGTGCCAATATGCTAATCAGTTGTATGTGGAACAACTGATGGTGCACATGACAGATCATGCACACTGTGGATTATTCCCCACCTCCTTCCTGCTCAGTCTTCCTACAAGTATCCCAGAGGCCTGAGTGGCAGAACTCATCTCCTTCTCCTGCTCTGACTGCAATCCTTTTTGCAGTTCCCATGGATTCCACCCCCCCTCCCTTTTTCCTTGGAGATTGCTACGCACATTCTGAAATGATAGCCCCCACAAAGTGCCCAAGCAGTACATTGTAGAAACCACCACTGATCTGCTGCCTATTTTAAAAAAAAATGCCAGAAATGTGCTAATTTTTTGTTAATTTAAAAAAAAAAACTGTTGGGATATCAAAGGGGCACAACTGCTATCTACCTAAAATGCAAAGATTTGCCTGGTCAAAGGGGTGGTGAGTAGAGCATCCTTTTCACAGTGAAATCCTCTAGATTTTAAGTTTGGACCTGACAGTTCTCAGTGCCCACCACCTCCTCTAAGGAGACATTACTTTTAACAGCTGCCAGAACTAAGGATTTACTTAAAACAACGTTTCTGGAAAGTGTAAATGGGGGATGGTTTGGACAGGGATCAGTTTATGCAGTTAGGATTTGGGGATTGTCAGGAGAAGTGCGGGATATAGAATGGGAGAGCTGCAATGCGAAGGGAATTGGCAAAAGTTGGGTTGGAAAAGTGTCATGATTAATCACAAAATGGCTTACCATATTGTGGTGGACCCAACCAGTCACAAAATACCACTTTCACAGAAAAATAAATCATTGAGCCTAAAAAGACAATTAGCTACAGAATCTACATCCTTAGGAAAAGTGGTGTTTGAAGTTTGAAAACTGAAACCACACTTTTGAACCCACAGTTCTTTTTTCATTTAGGATCACTCCCTAAACAAAGACACATCATCAGCACACCAGAACCACTCATCCTGGTAATTCAATTCTTTCCCGTCCATTCAGAATCATTCCATCCCAAACTCACTGAACCTCCCCTCACTCCCAAACACACAAGATCTACTCACTGATGTCATTAATTTCTTTCTTCTTTCAGCATCACTTACCCAAATACATACATATGCACCTCTCAGCACTTTGCCTTCCTGGGGTATCCCAAATTCTTCCTGTGGCTCTCCATAGACTACCACAGCCCTCATCTCCCTATCCCCGCCCTCCACAAACACACATACCAGGTCAAACCCTCCCTAACCTAGCCCTGGTTTTCCCATTCTGTTGGGTCACTTCAACTCTCCTTTGGTTACCCCACTGCCATCTCCATCCTCCACACTTCCCTAGCTGTGGCCAATTGGGTTCATTTTTTCTTTTTTCTTTTCCTTTCGGTGAGCAGAAGAACTTCAGTGAGAAACATTGGCCTCTTACCATCTTTACTTTCTCAGATTGCTTCTGCGTGGCTATGTCTTCCACCCACTCCGCAAAAATTAATCATTTAGAATAATTACAGGCACCAGCAGGGCACTTCATAGGAGAAGCAGTGGTATATGCAGGCACCACATTGCCTGCCCCCAATCTATCCTCACCACCAGCCTGTGGTGACTGTGTGTACAAGAGCAGAGATTAATTTCTCTAATCCAAGGCTTCTTGAAGTGGCATGAGTATCAAAGTTTCTGATTCAAGGACGCTTGAAGTGATATCAGCATCAAATGAGACATATCATAAAATAGAGAGGAAGGTAACAGAAGCATCAGTGGATTAAAATATGAAGCCCTTAAAGACGTATGCATACCATTTAAGCATCAGAATCATATAATGCATACAATGATCAAATAAATGTGGTATTTTATGATTGTTGCTCATACTTACTGGCAAATGTTCAAGTAATGGGGTCACACTTTCTGATACATATATTATATTTCCATCTGTCATGATTGCTAGAAAAAAACCATCAAGAGCCTGAAATTAAACAAAAGGGACAGTTAGAAAAGACAAATAAGTCACTGAACTATTTGTCTATCATACCTCCCACAAAATTCACTTCTTGTTTCTGTTCTTAATTGATGAGAAAAACAATTAACTACCCTCCCACCCAAAAAGATGGTTGGTAGTACTGAATACTATCTGACTATCACTTCAGTAAGGAGAAATACACACTATTATTATGTTCAGGTTTATTTTTATGCCATCTTTCAACTGAACAATCCACAGAAGAGGTACAGAAAGTTAAAATACAACCCTCTCCAGTAAGATAAGGCAGTATCACACTGAATCAGCAGACCTTCATACATCTTCAATCCAAAACAATTACAGCATGAAAGTCAAGCAACACTTTAGATAGTGTTTGGAAAAGGCAGTGGGACAACACAATTTAAAGAACAGAGGGCTGCTATGGTCCAAGTCACTGGCCCCAATAAACCCCAGCATCATTTTATACATGGAACATTCCTTTTGTAAATATTTTGGCACATTTTCAGGGTAACAGCATTCTAACTACAGTGCAAAGCTGAAATATAATACATTATAACATCATAAAGTAGTGTTTATAAAGGGAGAAAATGGGAGAATAAAAGCACATTTTAGAATGAATAGAAATGCATTACCTCTAACATTAACTGAGTGAATTCTTCATTACTAAGGAATGTAGGTTTCCAGTCTTGGCGGATTTCACTGGCATCTGACTGGGCAGTGATTTCTATAAAGAAAAGCAATTACCTGAAGATGCAGTTTCTCAAATACACATATTCAACATTGTATACTAACTTTTAACAGATTCAAGAGATTCCTTAGAGCAAAACAATGATGCAAATACTTTTCCTCCATCACACAGTAAAATAAAGTTCATTATCTGTGCCAGTCTGCAATCAAAGATGGCTGTTTTAAAACATAAACACAAATAAATGGAATTGTACTTATGGTGATATTCTACCTTTAGGTGTTGAAAAGAAACACAGAAAAATGGGGGATGTCAAAGAGGGTGAGGAAAGAAGTCTGATCACTTTGCAATTTGTTTCATTACTTATGGGTCAGGATTCTACAAGTACAAGGGAGTCTTATCTTTGTTGTTCTCCAACAGCGGCTACCCATTTTGCATGAGGAGAATTGCAAAAGTAATACATTAAATGTCAATTGTTAATATTTATATAAAAGTCCAAAATCCACTGGATTTCCATGCATTTATGATGATCTTTCCAGCAGCCAAATGACTTTTGAAATTTCTGCCTGCAGTCAACAGCTGTTATTTTCAATTATACTGAATTATAACCCTGTGAAGGATACAGACACAAGGCATAAACTTAAATATGACTTCATAAAAGAGAAAACTACTTGATTACATAAAATGTAGCAATTGCATTACATGAAGATACAAGATTTGATTAAACTGAATGAGAATCCATCCAACATACTCTCTGAATAAATGCCTCACATATACATCATTAAGGCAGGAGGCAGGAGAAAGACAGAAACAGGCATTTGTACCCATCCATACTATAGAATGAAAAGGGAATTGAATGGACTATGACTAAGAAAACATGACTAGCACTTAAAAGTGTAGTGAGGGGGGTTTGGTTGGCAAAAGGAAATTGGACAGATAGATGGACAGACAGATAAATAATGGGATGAGTTGTTCAGCATTTAGAAACAATTACTTCACCATTAAATTCTAAATTGTTCCATCAACCACTCTTAAAATAAAGATATCCTTCAGAAATGGAATAGAAGTTCATAGATTAATGTTTTAGAAACCCCCCAAACCATTCTTACTGTCACAGCCTTTGCTTCCCTTATCTACATCAATCCTGACATTGGACACTAGCCCAGAACAATTGATGCATCTGGGTTATTTTGACCTAAAACTGAAAATAGTACAGTTGAAAGCGATGTGCTTTCAAATAAAAGCTGAAAATGCAGGTGAAAAACAAAAAGAGAGACTATTACTACTTTAAGAAACAATCCTATGCCTATCTAGACAGAAATAAGTCCTAAAACTCCCAGCACAACCAATATAACTTAGCTGGGGTATGCTGGGGGCTGTAGCTCTTTTCTTTGTATCTAAACATGCATAGAATTGCACTGTAGTATGCCTTTGACTCATGCATTCATGTGAACATTACTGCAATCTTCAAACTAGAGATAATACCATGAAATACAATGGTTCAAAATTATTGCTCTAAAAAATTCTATTTAGGGCACAATTCTGTCGCCTCCTGACACTGTCTGATGGGTCACAGGATTATGTTGTTGTTGTTAGCCGCGAAGTCGTGTCCAACCCATCACAACCCCATGGACAACATTCCTCCAGGCCTTCCCGTCCTCCACCATCCCCCAGAGTCCACATAAGCTCACGCCAACTGCTTCAGTGACTCCATCTAGCCACCTCATTCTATGCCATCCCCTTCTTCTTTTGCCATCTATTGTTCCCAGCCTTAGGCTCTTCTCCAGGGAGTCCTTCCTTCTCATTAGGTGGCCAAAGTATTTGAATTTCATCTTCAGGATCTGGCCTTCGAAAGAGCAGTCAGGGTTGATCTCCTCTAGGACTGACCGGTTTGATCGCCTTGTGGTCCAGGAGTCTCCTCCAGCACCACAATTCAAAGGCCTCAATTCTTCACCACTCAGCCTTCCTTATGGTCCAACTTTCACAGCCATACATTGCAACTGGGAAAACCATAGCCTTGGCTATACGCACTTTTGTTGGCAGGGTGATGTCTCTGCTTTTTAGTATGCTGTCTAGATTTGCCATAGCTTTCCTCCCCTGGAGAAAGCGTCTTTTAATTTCTTGGCTGCAATCCCCATCTGCGGTGATCTTGGAGACCAGGAAAATAAAATCTGTCATCTGAGCCTGTCAGCTCCTGGTCTAGTTTTTACTGACTGTATAGAGCTTCTCCATCTTTGGCTGCAGAGCACATACTCAATCTGATTTCTGTGTTGACCGTCTGGTGACATCCATGTGTAGAGTTGTCCTTTGGGTTGCTGGAAAAGAGTGTTTGCTACGACCATCATATTCTCTTGACAAAATTCTACCAGCCTGTGCCTTGCTTCATTTTGTACTCCAAGGCCAAACTTACCTGTTATTCCAGTTATCTTTTGGCTTCTTACTTTAGCATTCCAATCCCACATGATGATGACATCATTTTTGGGTGTTAATTCTAGAAGGTGTTGCAGGCCTTCACAGAACCGGTCAACTTCAGCCTCTTCAGCTTCAGTGGTTGGGGCACAGACTTGGACTATTGTGATGTTGAATGCTTTGTCTTGCATTTGAACTGAGATCATTCTGTCATTTTGGAGATTGTATCCCAGTACTGCTTTTCCTACTCTTTTATTGACTGTGAAGGCTACTCCATTTCTTCTGAGGAATTCTTGCTCGCAGTAGTATACCTGATGGTCATCTGAATTAAATTCACCCATTCCTGTCCATTTTAGTTCACTGATTCCTAAGATGTCGATGTTCAGTCTTGTCATCTCGTTTGACCATATCCAGCTTGCCCTGATTCATGGATCTTACATTCCAGGTTCCTATGGAGTATAGATCTTTACAGCATCAGACTCTCCTTTCACCACCAGGTACATCTGCAACTGAGTGTTCTTTCGGCTTTGACCCAGTCACTTCATTCTTTCTGGCGCTACTAGTACTAGCCCTCTGCTCTTCCCCAGTAGCATACCGGACACCTTCCGACCTGAGGGGCTCATCTTCCAGCATCATATCTTTTTGCCTTTTGGTACTATCCATGGGGTTTTCATGGCAAAGATACTGGAGTGGGTTGCCATTTCCTTCTCCAGTGGATCACGTTTTGTCAGAGATCTCTGCTATGACCTGTCCATCTTGGGTGGCCCTGCACGGCATCGCTCATAGCTTCATTGAGCTACGCAAGGCCCTTCGCCACGACAAGGCAGTGATCCATGAAGGAGCACAGGATTATATGCAGTTACATCTCCAAAGTCCCAAATTCTTTGAGTTGACACTCCAAAGGTAGAGTCCCTGTCGCACCCCACTCACCGCCAACACCAAAGGGACTATGCTGCTGTCTCTGTGAAGTCAGATATTGGCCTCATAGAGGGCTAAAACGGTGGGCTGTGGGGAATGGTGGCAAGGGAAGAAGGTTGCGTTCATGCCATATCCAAATAGCACCTCCCTTCCTTCCCTTCCCCTCTGTGGCGTTTTATGTAGACACCTAGTTATCTAAATGAAATGCAGGGTACAAGCTGCCACACCTCACACCCAGCACTGTATAAGCCTCCACACTTGAGGCTGCCAGGCATCAAGGGCAGAGAACATTAGATCGTGTTCTCATTTTCCTAATTTCTAGAGATAATGCATATATTGTGTGTTAGGCACAAGGTAAGTTATTCTTAGAAGTCCTCATGAAGCAGATTTTTCTATTGTCCTAACAGTCTCAGCTGTTTGCAGAAAATTCATTCATTATCTTGATAGGCATAGTGAATTTGTATTTCTCTATTTCTCATTTTTGAGGTATTGTTCTTTCTCTTTATTATTATTATTTTATATATGTCCTTATTTAAAAGCAGTGATTTCTACTAGCTACTCAAGATCTCACAGACCAAAATGTTTTATGAATTATAGACAAAATCCTGCACAGCTTAATTGATGGCTTAAATAATTTCACAGCTTTAATTTAACATCCCAAGAATTACCTTTGTGTTTCCGTAAAAAGTCAATGCTCTTCTGCAGTACAGTGGATTTGTCCATCTTTCGAGCATTGCCCGGAAGCATGGATCCCAGCTCTTTGATAAGCACATTAAACTGATCTCTGCGTTTCTTTTCAGACTTGTTTCTTGATACTCTTTAAAAAAAGAAAAGAAAATGTGTCAATTCAGGGGAAAGGGGTTTTAACCAGGTTCTTTATGGTTAGTGGGCCAGATCCAGGTTTAAATAAGACACACTTAGCCCCACTGAAATAAATACGATTCAAGATAGTCATAACTAATAGAACAATCCAAAATCCTGTTGAAGATGAGCTGAGAGGATCATTAGATATAGCAGAAATGTTACTGCTCCACAGGAAAGGACCTCCACTGACACACTGTCATCTCTGCTCTGGAGTACCCTCAATATGCCCACAGAAAGGTTTGCATGTAGAAGTACCACCAGTGATTATCCTGTTGACAAATGTTCCAAAATGGAACATTTCAAGTATGGCCTTGGATACAAAGGATACAAACATCCATAGTTCTCCCAACATCCTACCCAAATGGATCCTAGAACAATGCCAGTCTCCACAAGGCATAGTTATTTTCTCTCACACTAGTGTTAATGATAGGGAGGAAATTTAAACTACCAGGGGAAAAAAAAGGAAAGCTTCCCCACCTCTTGCCCTATAATTTGTCCCACTGATTCCACTGGAACTTAAGCATGACTAATTTGGGATTGGCACATTAAAGTGTTTTAAATGTTAACTGTCAAATAAAATGTACTCTTCTTAAATAGTAATTTGACTAAATGTTATTAACTAATAGAAGGGAACACAGTGGGTATACATCTTTACACTTTTTGCTAGAATACAAATAGCTCCTTTAGGCACACTCAGTGCTCAGGCACATCAAGAATAATTTTGGATTTATTTCCTTTCAGTGGTCAGTAATAGTTAAAAAAACCCAAGCCTCTGCAAGTTTGCAAGACAAATTATGGATTTATTTGAATCTCAACATTTCTCACTGTCCAGGCACAATAGTTTTAGAAGAGACCAAAGACCAATTAACAACAGACTTTGTAAATTACATACCTAACCCTCAAATACTTTTAACCAATATATACCCCATTCTTGTCTTACAATAGTGTATCAGAAAAAAGTATGATTTGGATGTTTGGTAAATTTAAAAGAAACTTCAATAATCTGAAATTAAACTGTTTTATGGTTTTGGAGGGTATACCCTCTTAACCTTATCTTGCAATTTTTAATCCTGTCAGAAAGCAAACCCCCCCTCCACCCCCATCCAGTGATCTTTGTACAGAGCAACAATCTGAATGCAAATATCTAGTCCTCTGATCCCACAGTCAGTTGCCAGTTTAGTCAGCTGTCGTGAGGGGAAAATGAAAAGGCAGGCACTGATTCAGTCTTCTCCTCTCCCTCTAACAGGACAAAAGCACTATCAATCAGACAGATGTCCATCTGCCTGGCAATGTATGTAAGATACATGTGCACTGCGCATGCACTTCAAAATGCTGGATACAGGACATCCCCCACATTAGAAGAGATTTTATCAAGAAGAGTTCCAATTGTCTCAAATCAATTCACAGACACAAAGCATACCTCTTTGCTTTATCTTTGTCATCTTCTTCCACAAGACCATCAAATATGCTACCATCATCTCTACAAGAGAAAAACAAGTTTTAGTGGACAGTTTTATTTTTATTTATTTATTTAAAATATTTATTTATTTAGGATGTTTCTAGCCAGTCCAATCACTTCCATCTCTGGATGGCTCACAACAATCTATAAATACAACAATAAATAATAGCATCTGTATCCTAAACAACAATAAATTAGATATACCACAACTGAAATATATAAAAATAATTAATAAAATAAGTTAGATTAAAATAATTCTCATAATAATTAAAATTTTATCGTTAAAATATTGGTTAAATTAAAAGGTCTTAACCTGGCGCCGAAAAACATATAAAGACGGTGCCAGGTGGACTTCTCTGGGGAGCACATTCCATAGCCTGGGCGCCACCACAGAGAAGGTCCTACTCTAAGTATGTTCTCAAGGAGAGTTCCCGGAGCAGGGCCTCTGCTGCTGATCTTAGGGGTGGGAGGGCATCTGGGGAAGAATTCGTTTAGGTATACTGGTCCCAAGCCATTTTGGGCTTTATAGGTGATAACCAGCACCTTAAATTGGGCCTGGATCTCAATGGGAAGTCAATGGAACTGATAGAGGACCGGAGTTATGTGAGAATAACGACCAGTCCCTGACAGCATCCTGGCAGCTCTATTTTACATCAACTGAAGTATCTGGACTGTCTTCAAGGGTAGCCCCACGTAGAGCGCGTTACAATAGTCCAATTGCCTTAATAAAAATTTAAAGAATATTGAAAAGGTATGTGTATATATAAATATAGTTACAGTAAAAAGGAAATAACACATCATCATCATCAGAACTACCCCTCCCTGCTCTATTATATTACTAATTATCTAGATCCTGAAAGAAATTCTATTTCTAAGAATTGTACTGGAATAGATTTTATAAACTTTATCTTTATCCACAGATATAATTTAGAGGACATATCCTCACTGAATCTTTGTAATCCTGCATTGCCATTAACTGAAGCTTGTCACAGCCTGTTATAAAACATGAAGAGATACTAGCTGTTTTTAAAGTTACACAAAACTGTCATTTAACATATTGAGAACTAGCAACAGTGAGCTATGGACTCACATGCTCCTCTGTTCTCCACTCCCGCTCTGGCATGATCACAAGCAGGAGTGTGAATCAACAAACTATGGTTAATGCGAATTTTAAATGACTATAATTATTATCATCTCTATACTACCCAACAGTTAAAGCTCTCTGGCAGGTTCACAACAATTTCTCCAAAACACAAAGAAGAAATAGAATAAAAATGCATATACAGCTAGAATAAAAACACAACATCAAATTTCAGTAAGAAGACCTAGTTCACATGGAATGACAAGCCACTGATTTAAAAACTAAAAAGTTGTCATACAAGAGTGGAGATAAAATGTTAACTCCACAATCATCTATGAGTTAACCACCAAGTTGTGCAGCTTCTAAACAAACTAGCAGGGGAGATAAGAGAGAAGAGAGCTAGACATCTGCTGCAGCTCATTCTCTCTGCAGTAAACTATGATTATTATGACATCTGAATACATGGCCTAACTTCAGAATTCTGTTTCAAGTCATAAATCAGTAACAATACTTAAATAAAAATAAATGAAATTAAAAAATGACTTACCTGTCTGCAATGGAGCTCATTTTATGGGTGCTTACGGTAAAGAACATAACATATCACACTTTAGTCTTGTGGTAGACATTTGTATTTCTGCTCTGTGAAAGAATTAAAACAGAAGAAAGTTTAACTTTCAAATAATTATTTTCCTCAAGTGAAGTCTCTGTTGTTACTACAAGAAACAATGTGCAAAATCCAAAGAACTATTAAACTAATTCTACATACCCAAGAGACTTTTGGTATTGTGCCTCTTTAAAAAAAACTCCCCAACCCCCTCCCCACAATTCCAGATGGCAGACTAAAGTAAAAAATGGGTAAACATTCAAGGCAGTTTGTGATTTGGTACCAACTACTCTGATTTATTTTACTATCAGTAAAAATAAACAACCCCACTAGGAATAATAAAGTCCTTACTGGGCCTAACTAGCATTCTTTCAATGTCTGCAAACATTTTTGCAGCAATTTCTCCTCTTTCTGGTACTGTATCCCAATTATCTGAGCATAATCTTGTGTTTTTTTACCGTTTATACTTTTCTGGATGATAAATGGCAAGATTCTAGAATGATGATTTCAGAAGGAGTCAGTTGTAAGATAAGAATGCCCTCAAAATGTACTCTTCAGAGAAGATCATTAAGTTCTGTTCCAGTACTATTAAAGAAAAATTTAAAATTACTAGAATTCTGCACCTAATGAATGTTTTCACATAAAATAATGGATGACTACCGATTTTAATTATACATGGCAGGAGCAAAGCAATATAATTCAAGTACTTTGAACAGACAACTCACTTTTTTTCCCTTAAGGTCTTTGATACTGTCTCACCCGAATGTCAGTTCTCATCAGCCCCTCCCAACATTGCCAATGGGATGCTGGGAACTGGGACCCGTAGTCCAAAACATATTGAGGTACCAGTTTGGAAAAGGCTGCCTTAAATTATGTCTGCATTCAGTTCACCACTAGATGCATTCTAAGCTACTCATGCAATCTGCCCAGTACCCCACCAATGTATGTGAACTTCATACTATCAGTATGAATGAACCTGTGATGCTGGTGTCTGCACTGCTTCAGCTGTGCTTGCATCATTTGAACTGGCACAGGATCATCCTATCACACTGATTCCTCTTCAAAAGATGAAGCATGATCCCATCCTATCTTTGACCCAAAAAATGCAAATATGCCACTTGCCCTCGGTTCTTCAGCCCACTGTTACACAAACATTTTATTATTACTGTCACACATACATGCATTATTCCTGGAATTGAAATATTTTGTTGCCACCAGAATGCAAAACAGCCCAAAATATCTGGGACAGAGGAAATGTAGTTATGCTCTGTTCTCCTTACTTTCCTCTCTGTCTATACCAAGTAAGAAAATATGACAACATTGCATCGTACTATGTTATCCCATTTTCTTGCTCCCATGAGCTTTGATGCTTCTAAAACAAAGGTGCTTGTTCAGAACTGACATCCAGGCCCCTGGTTCACATTTAGCTCGCACATGGACCAGAGGACAGTAAAAGCTTCCCTTATGATTTAACCCTAATTAAACAACTAATGTTAAAAGGGAATAGCTGCAAGGCTTGCAGTATTCCAGTTCCTGATTTCTTAACAATGGATTGGATCCACATTTTGGAGTGTGCAAATGGATGGCTAGATGGTTCAGGTGAGTAGTGAATCATCATCTGGTCTCCAGGCAACAGGCTCCATGATAGAGGCTGGGTTGAAGCAGGTGGAAATGCCAAGCACTCATGGTCCCTGTGGACTTGAAGAAGGAGGTGGTGTGATCACTCCTGAAAAAACCCTTCCTGGATCTGGAGATTTATACTATAATCCAGTCCAACACCCCCCACCCCATTTCTAGATAATGCATTTGAGATAGATAGTGGTTTCTCAGCTACTGGATTAAACTGACCTCAATTTATTTCATTCTGGGTTTAGGTTTCAGAATGGAATCAGCCTTGGGCACTTTGATGAGTGACTTTTGGGAGAAGAATAGAAGTGTGACCCTGATAGTTCTTGGTCTCACAGCTACTTTTGATATAGGTGACCACAGTAACATCTTGAAGAGTCTATGTGATGTGTCTCTGTGAATCGACTTGCACAACACAGCCATGGTGGGCTGTGACCCATGTTTATTTCCTGATGGCTGGATGTGTTGTCTAAACCTGGCCAGGTGGCTTCAGCATGGTTTGTTAACTATGCACAACCTCCCCGAGAACCTAGGACTTCTTGTTGGGTTACACAGGAAGGCATTTTTTCAGGTTGCTTTGTTATGATGTTCAAATGAAGCAGGGTGGCCTCAGCACAGTTTGCTCAAGAGGATTACAGCAGCAGTGAAAAACCTGATTGCTTTTGATAATCTTGCTTGACAAACTATGCCTGGCAATAGTGTATGCCACCACTGCCTCTCTCCATCAGTGCCCTCTGCCCCCTACTCCCTTCCGTTCTGAACTTCATTTGATACTTTTTCCCCTTGTGAACATCCACTTCATAGCAGAACTATGTGAGTATGCTTGACTGACTTATGTTTGGTTAAGTGCATGGTCCCCAATTTGAAAACATGGCTTTTTTGGGGGAGGGAGGGAGGGATTTATGCTTTACACCCATCCTGTCTTCATGCCAGATTAAAAAGAGGTAAAAACTTTCCAAATGAGGGATTGGGATTTCATCACGAAACCCTAAGTTCCTGCACACAACTGCATACATGTTACACCTGCACTCACTGCCTATGAGTTATATAAAGCCCTAAACAACTCAGGATCAGGGTATGCTGCAGACCACCTTGTCCTCAATCCTAACCAGTTTCCCAGTTCCCACCAAAGAAAAGCTTTACAATAAGGCATACAACTTTGGGATTGGTGTTCCCAGGGCATTAATCATTGTTGTGCCAGACAAAGTTCAATTTGGTCTCCTGAGATCAGAGAACTTTTTTCCACAGGTTTGTGGTGCCTCCCGCATGACATTTTGTAAACTTCAATTGGGCTGTGATGTGTGTTTGTCAACAGCTTTCTTCTTGCTAGTTTTCCATAATGTCCAACTTTGTGGAGCATTTGAGTGATAGATATCCCATGAAAGATTTCTCACATCTCAGCTGTGGATCACCGTAACTCCTTCAGAGCTGCCAGTGGCCTCTTGGTTGCTTCTCTAAGGCCCTACTTACTAGTCACTGATCTTTGTTGGACTTTCTTCTCTAAGCAGAGCTCCAGTTGAGCCATATTCTTTCCATTTTGTAATAATGGATTCAGTGGTGGTCTGGAGGATGTTGATAGTTTGAAATATGTTTGTACAACCTAGCCCTAATTAGTGCTTCTGCACAGCTTTATCCAGGGATTGTTTGATACCACTGTGGCCTTCATGATGCTGTTTAGATATGCTCTCCTACAAAATCTAGGTCTTTCCCAAAACAGGTATATTTAATCTGTGATCGTGTGGTGCTGAAATTGTACACAGGTGGACTCCATTCAATTACTTACAGTATATGACTTCTGAAGGTAGTAGGTTGTTCCAGAGCTTATTCAGGAATGTCACAGCAAATGGAATGATAGTTATATAACCAACAAGTGCCTTCTGATTATACTCAGTTCAGTCAACTTTTTATTGACTGAACTTTTGTGCTATAAAAAAATACTTTGCAACCTCATGGTGAGATTTTGACTACACCCATTTTGATTGGTACACCCATTCCAAAATGTGAAAAAGTCAAAAGAGGGCTAAATACTTCAAGGAATTGCATTTTATATTGTATGAAAGCCCACTGTTATTAAAAGATAAATGACCAAACCCAAATAAAACTGAATTCTACTAATGTTGCTGTATGGATCCTAGCTAATGAACAAATGGCAAAACCAATAGCACAATCTTCTGCATCAATAAATTTAATTTCTCTGGTTTACATAGGACATGAAGACTTAGTGGTTGAACTTCCCTGTAGGGCTCCTTGTTGCAGTAGTGCCTCTTTTGAATCTTCAAGCTGCAGTGGAGGCATGCTATAGCTTGCTATTATCTGAGAACGAGGTGAGTGCAAGTTCTCGGGGTGTCTAACAAGCCATTTGCAACTCTAAAACAACCCATGGGTTCTGAGTGGCTTGTCAACCATCTTAACATCCCACTATCACCGTGGTGGCTGCCTGAACAAGAAGTCCTGCAAGGGAATTCAGTCATGGTGGCTTCTTCTTATGTATGAACCAGATCACTGTGTTCAGGGGAGCATCATCTAGTGAAATGGGATGCTTTGTATTTTTCTAGATAGCAAGGCATACTTCTGGACTTATTTTTTTCAGGTAGATGTACAGATGGTGATCTGGCTTTGAATCGGTCCCTTTGGCATGGTCAGATAATTGCTGGTGAGATTAAACTTATGGAAAGTTTTCTGTTCTGCAAGAACGGGGAATCAATTAAGATCATCTGCCCCTAGAGGCTGATGGATCCAAACTGTTTCCAACAGGCTCTGGGGAGTGATTCCAGCTGATATGGCTGGTTTGCCTATCAAAAGCTTGGTTGTACTGGGGTATGCAGATATGGCCAGGCTGATTGACATCATTCATCTCAGTGCCCTCTCTGAAGCAGAGCTTGTATGGCTCCATGGTATACTCCAGAACTAAAAACAAGGGAGAAAAATAAGAGGCACCTTGAATGCTGGATAAGAAAAACTCACTGTAGGTGCAATTGAACACTGGTTCATGTCTCTGGTCAGGTAACCATCAGGATTAGTAAGAGTGGCAAAGAAACAATATCTCATTGCCTTTATTGAATTGTGTGTCACTTGATGGATCTTTTTAAGTCCCAAAGGCCAAATATTACTTGGCCTTATAGATTCTCCAACAATAGATTCCACAGGGGTTAGTTTTATTTTACATGGTATTTAACTCTACATGAATCCACTAAGGATGAACATTCACAGTTTGGTATTGTGTTGCCATGTACTTCCTCTATTTCCTCTCTTCATCAGGTGAAGTAGATGCAGTAGATGTGTTAGATTGGTGCTTGGCTGCAACAACAGACTGGATGAGGACTTACAAAGTGAAACTCAGTCCCAGACAAGACCAAGATGTTGCTAGCAGGTGATCGGCAGATTGAAGATGACAACTGTTCAGGTTGGGTTTGCACTCTCTTCTGAAGGAGCAGATTTGTAGTTTATAGTTCTTTGGGAGCCATCTCAGTCATTTGAGGCTCAGATAGAGTATCTTATAGAAACTTTGGCTGGTGGCCCAGCTATCTGAACAGAGATAACTTGACTTCAGTCTATGCTCTGGTAACTTACTAGTTTTATTAACAAAATATGCTCTAGGTGCATAGCTCACAAATGCTAGTTTATGCAAAATGTAGCAGCCAAATTGATAACCAGGACCAGAGTGATAAAAAGGGATCAGAAACACATAACACTGATTTTTGCCCACTTGCATTGGCAGGCAAATACTTCCAATCTTGATTCAACATACTGGTTTTGAACTGCAAAGCCCTACATGTTTCAGAAACACAATAACTAACACAGCACCATTCCCATCATGAACTTGCCCATGTACCATGCTCTTCATCTAAGGTTTGCTCCAATTGCTTCTTCTGAGGGAAACCGAAAAGGTGGTAACTGGACAGAGGGCATTATCAGTGGAGGCACCCCAATCTCACTGCAGGGGTCCAACTAGCATCAAC